CCTCTGTTCCCTAAGGATTTAAAATAATAATAAATCAAAGCTCTCCCAGATGCAATTAAATTATGGTCAATAATAAGTGATTGAGAACTCTTACCTTATAGAAGCACATACAGGTTTTTTGTTGTTTTTTAAAAGGAATGACAAACCTACCTACATAAAATTAACACTAGAAAAAAATAATTTGTACTTGAACTGTAACATAAAACAAGATATAATGATATAATGAGTTACATAGGTGTTCAATGAAGAGAACCTAAATATATATATATTTATATTATATATTATTGTATTATATTATATATAAAATATAAATATTTATATTATATATATATTTGGCACTTATTTCACATACTTATATTCATCAATTGTCTCAAATGAAAATATTTTTTCTCCACAGAATGCCAACGTACAATAAGTGTTAACTAGCAGACTTGGGTTGCCCAAACCCTATATGTTCCAAAAGTCCTTAGGACTTGTTTCTGGGAAATAACCTTTCAGCCATTGGAGCATCTGCCCAATTACAGTGTCTTGTCTTAGTACATGTGGGGCTTTAGCTATGATAATTTATGCTAACAGTATGATTTATGGTGAACATATTTTTGTTTGCCCAGGGTTTTGGGCTATGCTGTATTCATTTAGGGGGAGGCACCAAGAGGCTGAGTAGTTAAGGTCACACAGCTTCTCCCTGCCTATGTAACTGACCTACAATATAATCCCTGAAAACCAAGGCTCAGGTGAGCCTCCTTGGTTGGTAACAACACTTGCCGATACCCTCATACATCTAAGCCCTGTCTCCCTGTCTCTACTGGAAAAAACCCACAAAATAACAACAACAACACAGAAACAACAACTAGAACCTTGCACCAGGCCCTGTGTAACTTTTTCATTTGCTGATTTTAATCTATAATCTTTTTGTTGTAATAAACTGTAACCAAGAGAGCAATAGCTGTTTGGGGTCCTCTGAGTCCTTCTAGTCTATCATCAAACCTAAGGGTGATCTTGGGAATCCCTGATAACAACCTATAATACACTAAAATTCATATTTAATATTTAATAAAGGTAATTTCTTTTAACTACAAGGTTTCGTTTCAGCGACTTCATTTCCAAAGATGCAGAAATAGTTCTCTACAGACAGGAACACCTTCTGGCATGTGGACTTCTTCCCATCATCTAAAGGTTAAAGGCAGTTCCTAGCATAGAAAGGCACTTCTACTGAGTGAAACAAGCGCTGCCCACTCCCACCAGCACCTTCCTTTCCTTCAGTGCGAACCCAGGTAATCTTCATGAAGTCTGTAGAACAGAATAATGCTTTTTCCTCAGACATTACTACTGACCTATAGTTGAGAAGAAAAGAATAGTCACAATTTTTCTACCCTTAGGTGAATTTTGTACTTTTCTGTTTGTTTTTTGAGACATTCTCACTAAGTAGTTCAGGCTGGCCTTGAACTTTCTGTGTAGCCCAGGTTGGCCTTCAAGTCATGGCGATCCTCCTGCCCCAGCCTCTTGAGTGATGGTATTACAGGTACGTGCCTCTATGCTCAGCAATTCTGTACTTTCTTTTTTTGGTACCGGGTATTGAACTCAGGTCCTTGAGCTTACGCAGCAGGTGGCGAAATCACTGAGCTAAATACCCGGCCCAATTTTGTACTTTCTTAAAAAAAAAGCAGGGCCTGGGGATTTAGCTCAGTTGTACCTCGCCTGCTTCACAAGTGCAAGTTCCTGAGTTCGATCCCCGGTAAGGGGTGTGTATCAGAAGTATCTAGTCTGGCCTTAAGTATGATGTATACAAAAGCACTTTTATCAGTTAGGAGCTGGACAAAGGACAGTTCTTTCCTCAGAATGTATAGGGCTGGTACATGTACACCCTAGGTGCACTAAATTTTACTGCACAAAAGGATTAATTCTATAAAGGTTTCATGGATTAAAATATCACTAAGGATTACAGCATTGAAGAGTTTTGGTTTATCGCATTAAAACACATCAGCAGTATGGATCAGCAACAATTCTATCACCTTACACGGTTTCCCCAATTCTGTGGCCAGCTTAGCTGTTCTCTTTCTCTTTGGGAAGCTCTTAATTGTTGTCAGTTTCTAAGGAAATTACAAAAGATAATTGTCTGGTATGGAATTACCTAACACCTGTGTGAGAACGAGATTTGCATTTCTTTCACTGCTGAGTCAGAAAAAAAAAAAAAGAATCTGCTGGACATTGTGGCACATGCCTGTAATTCCAGCCTTCAGGAGGCTGAGGCAGGAGGAGCATTGTGAGTTTGAGGCCAGTTTGGTCTACAGAGGGTGTTCAAGGCCAGCCTGAACTACAAGGCAAGACCCTCCCTGTCTCAAACACAGCTGGGCAACAACACAAAAAACAAAAAGAAAGAAAAAATAATCTATTATATTGGTTCCATTCTGAGTAAATGGACCTAAAGTATTAATAGAAAGCCATTTGAATAAACCACACTATCACACTTGATCTTAGTCAAAATGCCAAGAAGTGATAAAACTGCACTATCAATGAACTCACTGAATTCAATGATTTTGGATTCCATGTCTTTTACAAAAAGCTTCATCAAACTAAATACAGAATAGAAACTGGTGACATTTTGCCTAGAAATGTCAAATGGGCTAATCCATGCCTCTATTTTTTCCACATACAATCTTGGATTACCATGCATTATTTTATAGTTCATTATTTCCCACAATATCTAGTATACTATTTTTAGACATTTATAGGAGTAACAGGAGGACATTAAAGCCTCTATTCTTTTTTTTGTACCAGGGATTGAACTCTGGACCTTGTGCTTGCAAGGCAGGTGCTGGAACCACTGAGCTAAATCCCCGGCAAAAGCCTCTATTCTGAGAGACGACATAGGTAGGGTTGACAACAAGGCTATATAGTCAGACTGCCTAGAAAGAAATCTGTCCTAACACTTCCTGGCTCTGTGATCTTGGTCAAATTTCTTAACTTTCGTGCCTCAATTTCCTCTTCTATAAAATGGAAGTAATCACACCCTTTGGCCCTGGGAGGACACAGCAGAAAGGCACCATCTGGAAAGCAGAAAGCTAACCCTCATCAAAATGAATCTGCTGATGTTTAGCCTCAGACTTGCTCTCTGGAATAATTATAAGCACACCACAGAGACGCACCAGTTCAGGAAGTGTTCTGATTGGGAGCCAATACACTCCTGCACCAGCAATGGTCACTCAGACACACATAGCAGAAGCAACTAGCTGGGTTCCTGGTGATAGAAAATGGGCCAGAGAATTTATAGAATCTGATTTTTCAGAAAGTAAACAAAGTAAAAAAGGAGATAAAAATGGAAAAGGCTTGAGACATTTTTCAATGAAAGTGTGTGAAAAAGTTCAGCGGAAAGGTACAACATCATATAATGAAGTAGCTGATGAACTGGTGTCAGAATTCACCAATTCAAATAATCATTTGGCAGCTGATTCGTAGGCTTATGATCAGAAGAACATTAGGAGAAGAGTTTATGATGCTTTAAATGTGCTAATGGCAACGAACATAATTTCAAAGGAAAAAAAAGAAATCAAGTGGATTGGTCTGCCTACCAATTCTGCTCAGGAATGTCAAAACCTGGAGATAGAGAAGCAGAGGTGGACAGAATGGGTAAAGCAGAAGCGGCCCCAGCTGCAAGAACTTCTACAGCAAACTGCTTTCAAAAACCTGGTACAGAGAAATTGACAAAACGAACAGCAAAACCAGGGCCCTCCAGCGCTCAACTCCACCATTCATTTAAAATGCCATTTAAAATCATCAATATGAGCAGAAAGACGGTGATAGATTGCAGCATCTCCAGTGACAAGTTTGAATATCTTTTTAATTTTGACAACACCTTTGAGATCCACAATGACATAGAAGTACTGAAACAGATGGGAATGTCCTTTAGCCTGAAGTCAGGCAAATGCTCTCTGGAGGACCTGAAACTGGCTAAAATGCTGGTGCCAAAGGCTTTAGAGACATCACAGATATCTCCATAGGACCTTCTTGGTTAAATCAAGGACTACTTTTGAACTCTGCCCAATCAGCATCAAATTTAGACTTGACCACCGGTGCAACCTTACCCCAATCAAGTGTAAACCAAGGGTTATGCTTGGATGCTGAAGTGGCCTTAGCAACCGGGCAGTTCCTTGCCCCAAACAGTCACCAGTCCAGCAGTGCGGCCTCTCACTGCTCTGAGTCCCGAGGCGAGACTCCCTGCTCGTCCAACGATGAAGACGAGGAAGATGATGAGGAGGATTCCTCCTCTCCAGAATAAAGACAAGAGAAAAGTCACATTAAAAAAAAAAAGGAAATAATCACAATATTTCCCTTAGAGGATTGTTACAGGGATTAAATTAAACTCGTATGTGTAAAGAACTTTGCATTATGCCTGGGATCTAATAAGAACTATATAAGTAATGACTATTATCACAATTACCACTACTACTACCATTTATTCCGTGGAACACAGGGCATTTTTTTTCTTTTTTGGGTACCAGGGATTGAACTTGGGATCTTGCGCTTTCGAGGCAGGCACTGGAACCACTGAGCTAAATCCCTGGCCCGGAACACAGGGCATTTAAGTTATTTAGCTATTTTTACCTTACCTCAAATGTTATAAAGAAGCACAGTATTATTTTCATAACTGACAGGTCAGTATATATAGCAAAAGCACTTTATTGGGTTGTATCTCCAACATGGATACCTCATTGGTTCCATCTATAAAATGGGATGGTAATACTCTATCTCATAAGGTTGTGTGGGGATTAAATAAGGCATCTGTTCATACGTCCTGTTCTGTGGTATTACCATACAGGACAAGTTGATAATACTGAGCTCTGTCAGATACTTGAGATTTCAAAATTACCTTCTTCTAGGTACTCAACCACTTCTGCAAGGATGAGATTTAATATAATTCAAGACATGAACCCCAAAAGGTGCTAGAAGAACAAATGAATTTAAAAACTGTCCCCTTCTTTCACATTCCCTGGTTAGGATACATTTCTTCAAAATAGTCAATGTGTGGAGGTTGGAGTATGTCAAGGGCAGAGAGTACCTGAGAAAAAGAAAAAAAAAGTCAAATTTAGAGAACTAAAAAAGAAACAAAATTCGACATAAATGCAAGTAAACACTATTAACTTTTTAATAATTTATGGCAACTGCCCCCACTGAAATTAACTAAATTTATCAGTAAAGAAACATAGTTTTAAACATTAAGATGTGTTTGTAAACTTATTACTTAAAAGGCAACTCTAGCTAAATCAAAATGAGAGAGGTAATTGGATTATATAACACATGCTATCAAAATCCCTGCCCAGAAGAGTACTGGAAAGAAACGCCCTATTTATAACAATTAGTACTGATCTAAGAGCATGAGGAACTATATTTACTATTCATTTCTTTATTCCTCTGTTCAACATATGTTTACTACACACATTCTACCTGACAGGCACTGTAGTAATCTCTTGGGTTATACAGATGAGCAAAACAGTAACCATCTCTGCTTTCATGACTAATGGAAAGGTAAGGATGAAACAAATAAGCAAATAGCTGCATAAATATGTAATTATGATACCTATGATTATGAAGGAAAAATGTAAAGAAGGGTGGAAGAAAAAGTTTGCCTAAAGTAACACTATTCTAAGATCTGAAGGCTGGGTAGGAGTTGATCAGTCAATGAGCACGAAATGTGAAGACATTGAAGCAGTTTTTAGAAACAGAAAAGCCAGTGCTGATGGAACATAGTAGTTTGGAGGAAAATAGGCTACTATAAATTAGAAGAGGAAGGCAGGAAATAGATCATATAAAATCTCTTTTAATCATATTAAGCATTGTGGATTTTATTCTAAGAAAAGAAGTTACCAGGGTGGAAATAAAGACTCTAAAGCATCTGAAATTCAAGTCCTTTATAAAAGCAGAGTACTAATGTAACTTAACAAATAGGCTCACTTGCCCTATCAGATGCCTAGCTACTCTTTTAAATACCATCTATGACATCACACTTAGACTCTGAAACCATTTGGCTAATGAGAAATATTGGCTGAAAGGAAATGAAAGAAATTAACAGGAAATAAACTGGTTCAAGTTCATAATTCTAATCTTGACCTTAATCCCTCCCCCCTTACTGGGATCGAACTCAGGACCTTGCGCTTGCAAGGCAGGTGAGGCGCCACTGAGCTAAATCCCCGGCCCTTTTTTGTTTTTGTTTTTTTGAGACAGGGTCTTCCTATGCAGTTCAGGCTGGCCTTGAACTCACTACGAAGCCCAGGCTGGCCTCGAACTCACGGCAATCCTCCTGCCTCAGCCTTCAGAGTGCTGGGACTACAGGCGTGCACTACCACACCAGGCTTGGCCTTAATTTCTTAAGGAACATTTTTTTTTGTATTGTAGAGAATTTCAAATAGTAAAAGTAGACGGACTAATATAAAGAACAGCCATTAATCAACACATGGCCTTAGTTATTCACATGGCCATTCTTGTTTTACTTATAACCTCTGCCTCCTGACATAATTTTGAAGAAAAATCAGACTTTTTCCAGTCATATGAGCCAAGTATCTGTAACAGATAAAAACTTTAAAAAATATAATTAATGAATTGAAAATTTTGGTATTTTTATTTATTCATTTATTTCTTGCAATGCTAGCAAACAAATCCAGGACCTTGCATATGATATTTTAAAATATCATCAAATATCCAGGACTAACATTTTTAACTATTTACATAAACCTTTTTCCTAGGCAAGAATTTCTCACTTTAATATTTTATTTTAAATTATTTTTTTTAGATTTATTTTATTAAATTAAAACATTCCTTAATGAAAAAGCTTCAGTCACTTTATACCCAGTTAAACATAGAGGCTTTTAGAAGTTTTTATAAGGAATATCTACATTTCCTTTTTGAATTAAAATGTTTATACTTAGAATTTTTATATAAACAGAAAACAGCAGATTTTCTAATTTCTTCAAAGAAAAAATTTTATCACGTGAAAGATAAATTATTTAATTTCTATATTTTAAAAAGCCTATAATTAGCCAGTCACAAATTCACATAAATTTCTTTTTCATTACGTGATAGAAAAATTTTGAATGTGAGTATCTGAAGCTTGAGGAAGACAGAAACTAGTGTTTTATTTGACATCTTTCGGACTCTGAGCTCTGTATCTGAACAACATACATCCTGTCTTGGGGGAAAATAGAATGCAAAGAATGACAGCGTCCATTAGACAAAGCTATTTTATACTTCAAATCTATCTGCTATAATTAGAGGTTATCTAGAGGAAAGTGACAACCATACATTTTAAACCTTGAGAGGAGAATGAAGCTTTCTCATTCCATATTTGATGAGGCTTTTCATAGAAAAGCCATATAAAACAGCATTAGACATTTGCACTACAGCACTTGACTGCAACTGTTAGCTTTAAAAGTATAATATTTTAAACTCTGCCTAAAATATTTTCCCCCCAGGGATGCCATTCTGCCCTGCCTGTAATTTTTCTTTATGCCTGTTGTTTTATGCTTACCCTTTCTACCCCAAAATGTCTATGAGAGGATAGAATTTCAGTATTTCTAGTCCATAAAAACTGTACTCAGACTAGCAGAAGATTATCCTGGATCCGAAGTAATACAAAGGAGTGTAAAGGAGTAGGTGGAGAGCTTCAAACTCCAAACTCCATGGCTGATTCCCCATTTTAATAGCTAGAGTTTGTTTATAATCTCACCATTTGAAGAAATAAAGTGTAGGTGATTAGCCTTATGGAAAACTCCTGTAAAGACTTTGGTTTATAAACAGTCAAAGGAAGCCAGGCACAGTGGTACAAGGGATACGGGGGAGGGGAGGCCAAGTTAGAGGCCAGCCTGGGCAACTTAGTAAGATCTTGTCTCAAAAGAAAGTTTTTTACAAATTAAGATTACATTTTATTTTTTTCATATCATTTTATTAGTATATGTTTGCAGTACATAATGTTTACATTTTTCCTGTGAAGTTGGTACACATACTTAACACATCTTTTTTTTTTTCTTTGGTACCAGGGATCAAACTCAGGTCCTTGTGCTTGTGGGGCAGGCGGCGGAACCACAGAGCTAAATCCCTGGTCCCCATACTTAACATATCTTAATTCCTTTTTTTCATTGCCTTTTCCTCCTCCTCTCCGTTAAAAGAAAATTTTAAAATGGATGGGGAGAGCCAGGGATTTAGCTCAGTGGTTCTGCCACCTTCCTCGAAAGCGGAAGGTCCTGAGTCCAATACCCGGTACCAAAAAAATAAATAAATAAAAAATGGGCTGGGGATGTAGCTCAGTGATAAAGTGCTTATGCTTGCCCAGCATGAGTGACGCCCAGGGTTCAATGCCAAGGAGTGGCAAGGAAAAAAAAAAAAGTCAAAGTACCCCCAAATACCACCTACTCTTCAAAGGATCTCAAATACAAAGAAAGCAAGCAGACTTAACTAACTAAAAAATGAATTAAAGTTATGTCCTTAAATGATCACTACCAAAAAATGTCTCAGCACACTTTTTCAGCTTTTGAGGATTTAAACCTCCATGTTAGATGATTTACTATAAACCCTACATGATAAGCAAAAGATCTAGTTTGAGCCATCCCACTGTCAATAAAATAATTGCTGTGAATAACCTCAGTCCAAAATATGAAAACAAGAAATTTAACTGTTCATCCATAGAACACTTACTGAGTTTCTACTCTGCCAAGGACTCAAAGACAAGAACAAGACAGTTACAAAGAAGCCAGTTTGTCTTTTTTTTTTTTTTTTTAATTTTGTGAGACAGGGTGTTGCTATGTAGTTCAGTCTGGCCTTGAACTCGCTATACAGCCCAGGATGGCCTCGAACTCATGGCAATCCTACCTCAGCCTCCCAAGGGCTGGGATTACAGGCATATGCCCCTGGTCCATTTCTAACTCCTAATACAGTCTAAGTTCTTCAAGTGGAGATGATGTTATTACAACTATTTTAACAGAGTTGTAACACAAAGTACACAAAACCTATGAATATAATTTGATGAATTTTTTACATACCAGTATGTCCATAACATATATGGATTTTTACATACAAACATGTCCATGTAAACACCACTCAGATCAAGAAATTAAGCATTTTGATATCATAGAAAGCCTCCTTGCCTTTTTCAGCCCAAATCAATCCTTTACTCACCACTTTTGCCACTATAGATTCATTCTTCTGCCTGTTCTTGAACTTTACACAAAATGAACTATAGAGTAAATAAAGTCTTTTGCATATGGTTTCTTTCATACTGGTATGCCCATAAGATTTATCGATGTTGCTGTGTGGGTTGGTGGTTCATCCTTTTTATTTATGTGTAGTATGATGTTATGTAAAGGGAATATACTACAATGTACTTATCCAGAGTACTACTGGCAGACATTTGTAATGTTTCCAATTTCCAGCTTTATTAATAAAGCTATGAGAATTTTTGTACATATGTTTTGTGGATATATGTTTTCATTTCTCTTGAATGTTTAACAAAGGATAGAATAGGCTGAGCCACTGGGTAGGCAATCATTTAGTTTTTGTGGAAATTGCCAGTTTTTCTAACTGGTTTTGCAAACTCACTTTCTTACTAGCCACAGATGAGACGGACTCAAAACTATTTATTGAAATGGTCATTTCCTACTGGATTTCCATAGCACCTCTACTGTAAATCAGGTAAATGTATATGTGTATATCAATTTACAGACTATTTTGATTCCATTAATCTGTTTGTTTACTCCACTAGTGCTTAATACCTGTGTCTCAGTACATATTATGTAGCACAATATCTGTAGTATGAATTTCTAACTATTCAACTTCAAGATTGTCTTGACTACTTTAGATCTTTTCAACTTCATAAATTTTTAGAATAATTTGTACATTTCTATACTCACTGAAACAAAATTTTGCTTCTGATTGAAATTACATGAAATATATAGTTCAAACTGAGGAAAACAGGCATATTGACCATTCTGATCCTTCCAATCCACAAACATCTGAGACTGAATCATTTCAAATACATCAATAATTTCCCCAGTACAACAAACTTGTGATATACAGCAAATAATCAAATCCACTAGCAAGTTAATATACCTACCACCTACTATGTCCTTGGTGCTGTTGTTGAAATTCAAGAAGACTGAGACTTGCATTACAGGGTCTCCTGGCAGAAATCAACAGACTCTAAGGGGGTATTAACGGGCTTTAGAGAGCAAGTCAAAGTCTAAAATGACATAAAAATGGTGTGTATATGCATTTTTTTAGGAGAGATTGATGGCTTTCATGAGATCCTTAAAGGAGTACAAGGTTAAAAACTCAATCATCACTTTCCACACTGACCATAGGACAACTATGCACGTGTAGTACATAGGTGGGTGAAGTAGAGAGGGGACTAAGCCAGGTTTTATAATAGCTCAAATTCTAACTAGATACTAGGGATAAGGCTAAAAAAACACCAATTTTTTTTTTGGTACCGGGGATCGAACTCGGGACCTTGCACTTGCAAGGCAGGTGGTGGAACTACTGGGCTAAATCCCAGCCCTAAAAACACCAATCTTTAGAAAATAAAATCCATTTCTGTTTCCCTAAATTACTGTATCCAGGTGAACTTACCCTTTAAGATGGTAAGGCAGTTACTCAAATACGTGTGCGCACATGTATGCATATAAATTTAGTCAGATCATCTGAAATCAATGATTTTGAAACAGTGACTTTAGAGGTTTCTTTCAAAAGAAAATCCAAAGCCTCTCAAGTGGTTATAGCTGTTCTCTGATACATAACAGGCATCAAAATTAAAGTCCCATCTTCCTGCAATGACCAGGTTAATCTTTCTAAATGCTATTTTTAATATGACATTCTTTTCTTCTTCCTCTATTCAATAAAATCTTATTCTCAAAAGACTTATCTCAAGGTTTACCTTTTCTGTGTTTGTAGCATCTCTGAGTTTCTAAGTCCACAACAATTTTTCTTTTCCTTGATATTATGGTCCTTGGCAGCCACCATTCACCAGAGTTACTCACCTGAGTAACTTTAACAATTACTGATACATAGGCCTCAGTCCCAGAAATTCTAATTTAGTTGGTCTGAGGTAAGAACCATGAATCTATGTTTTAAGGCTCTCCAGTAATTCTAATATCCTTCTTAGTTTGCTTTTATAGCTTTCTGATATCCATGCACTAATGTTTATCCATGTAGGCAGGCCTCCCATTAGCATCTTTATCATAGTACTTATTACATTACAAAATATCTTTTAAGGGCCAGGGATTTAGCTCAGTGGTTCTGCTGCCTGCCTTGCAAGCGCAAGGAACCAAAACAAAACAAAACAAAACAAAAATCTTTTAATCTACTTGAAGGCAGAACCCTCAAGTAGCTCATGCAGTTTGGCCACTCAGGATGTATGGTTTATAGCTAGATGTCCCCAAAGCCTCATGATGCTTCTAAGTGGATTAGTCCACTGATGAGTTTACAGTGAACTGTGATGTTGGGAGGTGAAGCCTGGTAAGAGGAGGTGGGTCACGGGGGTGTGGCCTGGAAGGGCATATCTCCTTCTCTTGATCTCTCTCTCTGCTTCCTGCTGCCATGTCATGAACTCTTTCTCCCTGCCAAGGCCCTCTGCCATGCTATCCTGCCTTGGAGCCAGCTGCCTATGGGCTGAAACCTCTACAAACTGGAAGCTAAAATAAAATAAACCTTTCTTCCTTTAACTTGTGGGTGTTGTGTATTATGTCTCAGCAAAAAAATAACTAAAACAAGGTGTACAATAAATGTTCACTAAATTAATGAAAATAGGCTCTGAAGCTAGGCAGATTTATATTCTAATCTGTGCCACCTTTGTTCTTGGGCAATATTGACTCTCAGCCTCTAGTTCCTCTGTAAAGCAGTATTAATAAGCCCTATGTGACAAGCTTAAGGAGTAAATGAATTAATGTATGTGAAGTATCCAGCATACTTCCTGACCCAGAGCAACATGTGTTACATATCTGGTCTATCCTTTCAAAATGGACAGTATTTTAAGCTTTTTTTTTTTAAAAAAAATCTTCCATATGACCTAGCACTATGATCTTTCCACAGGACACAATTAACAAACATTTGTTGCCTTAATTACATCAAATACCAGCTGCCTCTTAAAACTGGCATTCCACACATACCAGGTATGCTAACCCTCAATGCTTCTGAAGACAGATCTTGAGCATAGCAGAAATTCATTATGTATGAAATAGTGGTGCCACACCATTTTCATCTCCAATTATCTGCCTCACTTTCAAACACTTCTACAGAAGTCACAGGTACTCCTCTTATAATAGAGTTCAGGGGTTTCAAAGAGTAGTTGTGTTTATATGCATTTAAAAATTTTAATTTCTACAACAATCATATACAGTTATTTCTGCTTTTACCATGCTCACTTTGTTTGTTTTTTGAGACTGGGTCTTGCTTTGTAGTTCAGGCTAGCCCTGAACTCACTACGTACCCCAGGCTAGCCTCAAACTTGCAGCGATTCTCCTGCCTCTGCCTCCCAAGTGCTGGGATTATAGATGTGAGCCACCATACTCAGCTACCACGCTCACTTTGCAAATGAGAGAACTTGAACCTTGCAAAAGTTAAGGCCCACCATTAGAAAACAAAACCATAATTCAAACTTAATTTTGACTCTAAGGGCCAGCTCTGACAAACTGTACTAGATGACTGGGTTTGTTTTTGTTGTTTTTTGTGTTTTGTTTTTAGTTCTGGGGCTTGAACAGAGGGCCTTGTGTCCTATGTGAGGCAAGTGCTCTAATGAGCCACATCCCTAGCTCTGTTGTGTGGTTTAATTGGCATGATTTTCAAGATTTCAGTTTATTTTTTTCTTACACTACACACTCTGGTACTGTCTTTGGAACAAGCAATGATATCAACTAAACAAACAGCAGCTTATTTTGTTATCTGTCTAAAAGGAAGCCAAGATTAGTCTAAAGATCAAACCATCAAGATCCTTAGTAACTGAATTTCTAAAGGTATGCTGGAAGTATTTTTTCACCATGGATACCTTCAACTGAGTCTCTGACATTATATATAAAACTTGTACTCTTTGATGGCTGGGTGGTAAAAGGCAAATTAAAAAAAATAGTGACTAAGCAAGCATTAGACATCATTCTAAATTACATATCCAAAATCTGATGACAAACATAGCAACTCAAATGGTTAATTCTGAAAGACACAGGGCTAGGGATTTAGCTCAGTGGTTCCGGTGCCTGCCTCACAAGCGTAAGGTCCCGAGGTCGATCCCCAGTACAAAAAAAAAAAAAAAAAAAAAGACACATTGCTTGGCAGTTCCAATGGACTAAAGGACAGCAATGTATTTTTTTCTTTTTTTGCAGTGCTGGGGGTCAAACTCAGGGCCTTCTCCATGCTAAGCAAGTGATCTACTACTTAGCTACACCAGCCTGGCAACATCTTTTAAAAAGAGTTTAAGAAAAAGAGATTTCAAGAGGTATAATCAATAAATTGTAATTTCTTTTTTAAAATGAGACCTATACTTAGGCCAAAGTTATAAAAGTTTCTGGGCAAACAACTATCTAGAGACACTAGAAAATTTTCCCACTCAATACATGCCAGGCAAGTGCTCTATCACTGAATTACATATTCAGCCCCAAGAAACTATTTTGCAAATAAAAATTCTATTATAGCAGTGAAAATAGTACAGGTTGACTATCCAAAGAATTTGAAGGAGTTTTTCTTTTTCTATGAAACTGAAAACAAAGTCTAATGTTAGCAATCTCCAGGTAAAATACACGTATCAAACTTTTAATTCAGAATTAGTTGAGAAGCTATCTCTCAAAATACAGTAAGTCTAGTTGTCCATAAGTCTTTACATCGGTAAACAAAGCCAAAAATAAACTAACCTTTGCTACCTTAAAGGCTGTACTGTTTTTGTTGAAGAAATTGTTTTCCTACATCTCTAACTTAACATCTGATTAAAAATATTACAGGATAAAACAGAGCACTTAAAATCAGGGGCCAGTTATTCCCACTTAAATCCTTATGTATTACACTCTTTTTTTACGGTACCAGGGATTGAACACTGGGCCTTGTGCTTGTGAAGCAGGCAGCAGCACCACTGAGCTAAACCCCCAGCCCTATTACACTCTATTTTTGTGTTGAATATTAGTATTATTCTTCAGTTAAACATCAATATTTTCCTTGCATCAGTTAATATTTATCTGTTAGTCAATAAATCTTACAATCCTCTTAAACATCCTCATTGTTAATCACAAGAAGTGCGTGATTTGTCTCAGATTTTCAAGCCCCTTAAAAATGTCTATTTTCCCTGAAAATACATTTTCCTTTCCTATGGGCTTTAAACATATTTAATAGCTTATATTCCTAGAAGTAAAAAAAGATTTTCAGGCTGACAAATGCAGAGTATACCCCACAATTCTGAAGCCAATCTGAAACTTAATAGGTGCAATGTTTTCTAATTTGGGGTTAGGCTTTGTGTAAGTCATACTAATTTGGAGTGTAATTTTCAAACTGCCAAACAGAATTTTGACAAATCCCTAGGTGATTCTAATATGCTACCAAGGCTAGAAACTACCAATCTCAGTAGTGAAAATTTATGACAGTCACAGAGACTGTCTAACTATCTATAAAAGAAAAGCAAAATAATGAAAGAAACCAGTTAATAAACAGTCTCTGTGTATGTATGCATATTTGTATGTTAATGTTCCTATCAATAACAATGTGTGAACTGAAAGCCTATATCAATCGGTATTCTATAACCTTACTGATGTCCTACTGCTTTTCAGAGTTTGGCATAAAACTGTAGCTGATTTCCAAATTTTACTTGCACGGATCCTTAACTGTCTTTTGCTCTTTAGTAATTCCATGAATTAGGCTTAGAAAAGAGTTTCCCCAAAACAATAATTTCACTTACATTATCATGTTTAAAAAAACACAACATCTTCAATTCCCGGAAGACTCTTTTGCAAGAGACTAGATTCTGGAAGACGTTGGGCATCTTTTTAAGTGCTACTCTCTTTCCATCTCTTGGATCTGTTACTGACCTAAAGAAGCAATATTTGGGGAAAAGAGAAAAAGAGAGAGAAAGAAAGAGAGAAATCAATTCCAAACCTTGTTCTTCAATGTTTCAGATCATGACAAATATCTTTACCTTAAAACACTCACTACTAAATCCACATAAGGCTTAAGACACCAGTGAGAAAAAAAGGTAAAACAGTACAAAGAAATGCTCAGCTAACCAACTCATCTGCCATGTTTTCTTTTTAAAATTCTGTCTGAATTTCTATAAACATACTCTCTGAGAGGTCACTTAATACATTTGGGGTAGAAGGGGTCTGAGTGACAAAGCCATTTTAAAGAAACCAAAAAAAGCAGCAGCATACACATTAAGTGCAACCAAAGTCAAATTAGTTTTATGCTTTATTTTCAGAATCACATTCATAATGGAAGAGATGTTTCAAAACAATCTAAATATTTTGGTCTCTAACACATCTTTCAGTAACTGAAATAACTGAACAATGTCCCCTCCTCTGAAGTTTGAGTGGCCGCTTAGGGATCCCTCTAGTCCCTAAGTGGTGACAGAACTTCCCTTGTGTTTCCCAACTGTGGGTATGGTAGGCACTCCTTGTCGTTACAATCTCTTTAATTGCTCAGTGTCCCTATTGTACCTTTTTGTTGTTGTTTTGGCCTTTGAACCATCTGAATAACCAATTACATTTCTGTTTGAAATACTAGTGTGGCTTCTGTTTTTTTCTAACTGAACTTAGATACATATTAAACTAACTGAATTTGATACATATGAAACTAGTTAAAAGAAACAAATCAATACATTGTGCAAATTGGCAATTGGTCATTTGGCAATAAATCAAGATTTTCTGCTTTTTGTTTTGTTTTTCATCCATTCACCATATGAAGACTGGTTGTTCTTGTAGGATTTACTCCTTTCTGACGGATTTATCTAAATCTCTGTTATCATTTATTCTTACTACTCTTTCTGTTCTTGTGATTATCCAGTGCTTTTAGTATCACTCCTAGGTTTGATTCATTTTTTTTTAATTGGGATTTTTTTTGGTACTGGGGATCAAACTCGGACCTTGCGCTTTTGAGGCAGGTGGCGGAACCACTGGGCTAAATCCTTGGCCCTGTTTTTTTTTTTTTTGAGACAGGGTCTCGCTATGTAGTTCAGGCCAGGTTTGAACTCACTATATAGCCCAGGCTGGCCCTGAACTCACAGTAATCCTCCTGCCTCAGCCTCCCAAGTGCTGGGATTACAGGGGTGCACCACTACATCTGGCAAGATTTGATTCATTTTAAAATCTGATCTGTGTCATCAATGCTTTTATCCCAGTTATTGCATTAGAAACCACCTATGAGACTGTCAGCCAATCATTAATCTTGGGTATAGCTGTTCAATAAACTATTCATTCAATGAACTACAATCACTCAATTTCTTCATTTTGTCCACAAAGAAATCAGACAATCATCAATTACCTTCCTGGAAATAAAGCATTTCTGTTCTCTACCTATCTACCTGAAAACCATATCGAACTTCTCTACAAATTCATTTTAGTGATTACAACTTTCTTTCCAAAGTGCATTACAACTTTAGTGATTCCAACTTTCTTAAATGATGCATTCTAGTATTTTTAAACAACATGAGAACTCTTCTTTCTACTACTGAATGAAAATCTGGTAACATAATTACCAGATTTTAAAGTTTTCAATAGCTTGAAATGTAACTCAATTAGGACAGGAGACCAAATATTCAAGAATGTTGCTTAGAAAATAGCAACCAAAACCTGCAGCATTGCTTAAAACCCACATAAACTAGGCAATTAAAATAGGAAAGAGGGCCAGCCGGGGAGTTAGCTCAGTGTCCCGAGTTCAATCCCCAGTACCAAAAATAAATAAATAAATAAAATAGGGAAGAGAGCCAGAGATGTGGCTCAGTAGCACTGAGCCCGCCTGGCAAACGCAAGGTCCTGAGTTCAATCCCTGGTACCAAAAAAAAAAAAAGTAAAACAGGGAAGAGACTGAATATGAGTATATTCAAACTATTAGTCCAAAGTCTCTCCCTCACTACTTCTTTAGCTACTGTCAATAAAATACAAGGAAGGAAAATTCTGGTTCACACACTGTACTCAATTTCCCTATCTCTTTATTTTTTAAATAGCATATATATTTTTAATGACCATACCTTTTTTTCTTTTTGGTACCAGGGATCGAACTCAGGTCCTTGCGCTTATGCAGCAGGTAGCGAAACCACTGAGCTAAATCCCCGGCCCAACAATACCATTTTTGAAGAGTACAGGCCAGGTACTTTGTAGACTACCACTGAATGAGTCTGGTGTGTTCTCATGGTTAGATGTAGATTATGCATTTTTTAATAGGAACAACAGAAATATTGTCTTCTTAGGGGATCACATTAGGAAGTATATGATGTCAATACGTCCCATTAGTGGTTGTAATTTTAGTCCCTTGGATGAGGTATCTGCCAGATTTCTCCACTATATAGTTACTATTTTCCCCCTTGTTTCTATGTAAATATGTAAATTTCTTGTTCCTCATCAAACTTACTACCTTTAGCATCCACACGTCCTTGTCTGAATCAATTATTATAATGGTTGCCAATTGGTACTATAATTGATAAATTTAAATATCTTTAACAGCCTTGCACAATAAATACTAGTTTTTAAAATTGAATAAATTGATTTAACACAATTCCCCTTTCAAAGGCATCATGCAACAATACTTCTCCTAACTTCTGACTTGTTTTTAATGGTCACCCCACTGGTCACCTTACTGATAAGGAAAGTTACTCTAAAGATAAACCTAGCTGACACAGGCTCAAGGTTAGCACTGTGCCTTGTAATGTTTTAAGGTAAAATTCACAAAGCAGCATTTTATTATTCATGCAAAAGTCAGTCATGCCTGTGGCTGGTAACAATATAACTCTAATGAACGTGAATGGCAGTGCAGTAATTTCATGCCATGTTGAGTTTGTTTTCTCTTTAACTTGAGGTAGTAGATACTTTAGCTCAACACAAACAGTACCACAGAGCATGGATAAGTGTGGAAGTACACTATACAGGAATTCTTTTATTTCCTTTGTTAGTCAAAGGCTTGCCATGCTTAGTTTCTCTGCTACTGCAATACTCTGGTTATTCCCACTGAACTTGTTAATAAAGATCCAGCTGTAGAGCTAACAAACAACATTTAGGGCAACTTTGTTCATTTCAGCAAAAAAGGAGCCACCCTTAGAACTCCAGTTCACATACTTTCTCTGCTAAATACTAGATGCCCTAAATAGCCCATCTGTCACTTCATCTGACTACCTTCCTAGGCATAAGTTAACAAACAGGTGTTTATTAAGTTTTAAATTAATAACTGATTTTTCAAGTACATTAAAAATAAAGTTTTAAGGGTCATGAAGAAGGTTCTTTACATTAATTCAGAGTACCTCAATCCTTCTCTGCAATTAGAACACAAGTTCAATTGTTTCTTAACGGAAGAATCCACAAGCCATTCTTCAGAGAGACATAGTTTGTCAATAGTACAATAACAAAACAGAAACTTTTCAGATCTGTTACAGTCATTTTGCCACAAATTTTTCTTAATCCCAGGAATCCATAACCATTACTACAATCTTCTTAAATTTCTGACAGGCAGAAAAGCTGGAATGAAACAAGAGTCAGACCACAGTACAGGAGATGCCTTCTCAGGAACCAAACGTCACTTTAAACATCTTTAAATTATTAAAACTAATCAGCAAGAATCTTTTCTTTTTTTTTGGTACCGGGGATCGAGCTCGGGTCATTGCGCTTGCGCAGCAGGCGGCGAAACCACTCAGCTAAATTCCCGGCCCCAAGAATCTTTGAGAGGTTGTAAATTCCTTTTTTTGGCGGGGGGGTGGTGGTGGTGGTGGTACTGAAGGTTGAACCAAGGGCCTTTGCATCACAGCCCTTTTAAAATTTTGAGACAGGGTCTTGCTAAGTCACTAAACTGCCCTGGCTAGGTTTGAATTTTCCATCCTCCTGCCTCAGCCTCCCATTATGCTGGGGTTACAGGAGTACACTACCACACCCAACCCTCATTCATTTGTATGTGAACAATCTATTCCCTACATGTCTTTAGCATTCTTTACGTTCATGTTTCTGACACAGGTTTTTAGCTAGTCAAAGCAAAATAGTGAGACTGCTTCAATTTGGGTTAAGAAAAGCAGGTTCTTTTCATGAAAAGCTGTTACCAGCAATCCCCTATTTTTTGCTATATATACTGCAATTACTAGTCAATTGTACCATTACAGGATACATCTCAGTAACACTCTCTTGGCTGGACTCTAAATATTTAGATTATTGCTTTCCTCTTCGTTTTGAAATTCATTTCCTTAGAAGTTATTTTTACTTGTATTTAGATTAATTCTGCTTGAGAAAACAGTAAATTCTGAGGCCATTTTCTGACAAGTAAGTCTAGAAAATACACCTAGTTGTACCTCTTTATTAGGCATTCAAGGACACACAGCAATTTAAAGAATAAATTAAGGAACAAGGAATTTATTTTTATGTCTCTCTGCTCTATTTAACCAAAATTTTATTTTCTTTTTTGTACCAGGGATCGAACTCAGGTCCTTGTGCTTGCCAGGCAGGCAATGGGACCCCCAGCCCTAATCAAAATTTTAATAGGCTATATTTTAGTAGGTTAGTTTGTATACTCTGACATAATTCACAGAGGTACCATTTTGAAGAACAAATCCTTCCAGCTGCCCCCATCAAAAATGATAAACTATACTCATCTTCCATATTTAATTATGTGTTGCACCAGCTGAGTTTTTTGACTTTTGGTTTGTTTATCCAAATTCGGTATTTGCTGAGTTATCTGTATGCATGAGAAAGTAATTCTTTTCCCTTTTCTCAAGATGCATAAAATGACCCCCCCGCCCCCCACACACCAAACTTAACGTATAAGGAAAAAAGGCCTTCCACAACAGCTAAATTAAGGCAATGGTGAAATACTTTATATAGTTTTTTAATATCCTAACATTATT